TACTGGTACAGGTAAAACACAAACTAAACCTAACAAGACACCTCTTCACTGTATACCACCATCCCTCTACAATTAGGTACACAACACTTGTAGACCTCGACAAAACGTTAAATGAACGTTTTCACTACACTCATTAAACAATCTTCATAGGAATCAAGCAACTATTAATATAGTTCTTGTTGCGAGAGCGAATCTTGAATGAATAATTATGCAAATAAACCTCGTCAGTCTGTGCAAAACACTGTACACAGAGAGCGTAAATAGATTAAGATAGAGGAATCTAAGCCTTATACGCGTGACGTCACATAGATGGCCACCATCACCAGGGCTTGCAATATAGGTGGCATTCTTAGTATCGATAAGTACGGGACCAGAAAAATGTAACAGAATGTCCAAGAATATCTCTAGAAGAAGATTATGGTGTGAGGAACGTTTCTTGCTGGCGCTTGACTTCAAAATTTTAGTTTTTAAACCCTACAACGCTTCGTTTAGGAGTTATTTAACGATATATCTGTCAACATATCAGTCATATTTTTAAAGACAAAGTGCACTTCATCACGTTTCCGTAAAATTTCTTTCTTTAGAGACTATATTTATAAAGATCTATCTCAGAGCAGCAGTGAATGGAAATCACCAGATTAAAATCCCAAAGTACGTCGGGATTCGAACATGAGTTCTTCAGGTCAGGACGCCAGCGCTCTAATGACGATGAGGTCAATTGAGAAAAAAGAAAACAGTGAAGTGTTAATAATTAGACCTGAACAAAGAGAAGGGAACAGTGAGAAGTGAACAAAATATAAGACAAAAATGGTAACTATCAAGCTATCTTGCTTATAAATTTAGAACCTTTTAATGTAAGTAATCTTCGCCCTACTAAGGGATGTGAAAAGGCTAATAAAAATAATAATAATAATAATAATAATAATAATAATAATAATAATAATGCCGATCAGATGACTGAGATCGCTAAGGCAGTAGGGCCGTACTGGGTTCCGACCAGAAAATCGCGGGTTCGAGTACCGCCTCGGGCATGGGTGTATTTGTGTATGTCTGTATGAGTGTATAGTCCTTTTACCCCTCATTATCATCAACATTTCATCTTCCATACCCCCAGGGCTAACAACCCTGGGGATTAAAAATCGGACTCAGCTAAATGCTGGTCCCCAATTAAACGTTACATGCATCTGCCACCGCGATAATGATACTGAGCCATGGTAAATGCAGGATGCATGGTCCTAGTCGGCCGATTCGCGAGCAAATAATAATAATAAATAATAATAATAATAATAATAATAATAGTAATAATAATAATAGTAATAATAATAATAGTAATAGAAATAGAAATAATAATAATAGTAATAATAATAGTAGTAATAATAATAGTAATAGTAATAATAATAATAATAATAATAATAATAGTAATAGTGGCAATTCACCAAAAACGTTATAATCTCCGGGCGGGCGTGGGAGTGCAGTGCGCGGGTACGCGTGGGCGTGCCGGGGGAGCAGCCCAGCTGGGGAAGGCGGGCGGCAGAGGGCCGAGGCGCGTGTGCCCCGATGCCGCGCGGGTTATCGCCGCTCGACCCCGTGGCCTTCAGCGCCCGTTTGGAGGGGCAAGAAGCTTTCCTTCGCTCCGGCCAGATCGAAAATGAATTGCAGACCTTGCGCTGGCGTACAGCACTCGGTTATCATTCGGCACATCCAGCAATGCTTACAATCACTAAACACACTTGCGTAAATATTGTAAGATACGAATTTCTTTTCTTCTGAATATTTTTGTTTGCATCCAACTTTGTCATTGGCACTCCTACACAAGGGCGAGAGGATTCAGGCAGTGGCGGCGACTAGCATCTTCACTACGCTCGATTTAGCAAAGTGCAGTTGGCAGATTGCATTACCCCTGAAGCACAGGGATATGCATTTTCCGTGAAGGTTTGGAGCGAACATGTGCCTTCCACTGAGGTGAAGTACGCGTTTAACCTGTAGAGTCGCGTTTACGCAGCTGAAGTACATTCGCAATGCCGTGTATGAACGACATCTCAATATTACGTGGTAACTCTACATCATCTAGGGCGGTTTCTCAGGGGAGGGGAATGGAGAATAACCTGAAATATTGTCTTACTCTTCTCAAATTAAAATAATTAAACTGATAATCTTGATTAAAAATTTATCTTATATAAAAATATAAACAACCTTTGACCTCCAAATTCCTCTCTTCAACCATAATCAATCACAGGAGCAATATTTAAACCTGCATATAAAGGATATGATCTAATTATATAAGTCGATATATAAGGTATAAATCATATCGATCCTAAAAACCCTACAAAACAATAATTTATTAAACTAAATCTACAATAATTTATCAATATTGATAGTTCAAAACCAATTCAACCACCAATAGAAATAACAACCAACGCCAAAATCTTTATATACAATGGCAAACAAATTAAATTAGGAGCATTAAATATTACTCAAGATAATAATGAACCACCAATTACAGACATAAATACTAATATAAATATAGGACCAATTGAGAGTTACAGAAAGTTGAGAGAAAATCTCTGACTTCCAAATGCGGTCGCAGAGATTTATGGTCTCCTAATCCACAACCAACAACTGAAAGGTGATTCCAAGTAAAATGTTCTTTAAATGTATGGTACTGCTACGGGTCGAGATGAGTATCCGAGGAGGAAGATACTTTGAACAGCTTTTGTGAATACACATCCAGCAACCGTCTTAAGTCGCGTCAAATGAGGCAAAGAGTTCAGAACTAGCAAATGATTCGGAAAAGCCCAATTAACACAATTAAATTTCTTTCTCATTTCTGTTAATTTTTCTTTAAAAAATATTCTGCAAGAAATAAACAATTTTATTGTCCATTAAGTGTTTGTATGTTTCTTATATGTAAATTTTTGCGTATACAATACTGTTTTAAACCAATTTTGGGGTGCTTTTAAAGCTCAACCATTCGAACGACAAGCGAGTAATGAAGCAGATTGTTTACGAAGTTGAAATTCACGTGCATCAGAATGCAACATGCGCCAAGAGTCGAAAGAGAACGTTTACGTGCTCTCCAATCACGTGCATCAGAATCAGAAGACCAACATGCGGTGAATTGAAAGAGAACGTTCTCGAGCTACTCGATCTCGACGAATAGTGCATGCTGATTTGAATCTTGCTATATTTCAGTATGATGTTGACTACTAATACAGTTTGCAACCCAGTGTAAATATAGGCAAAATAGATAAGTCCTGGGGGGGATTGGCATTCACTTAAGTTCCACATTGAAACACCAGAAATGTGCTGCGCGAATGGCAAAGTTAAATTACCGACATTAAACAAGATAACTCTTCCAAATTCGAAACGATATTTCCACAATCATTTCTGCGGCAGCAACGCGCCGGGTGCGAGCTAGTATGATAATAAAATAAGATGTATGAAAAATATAGATCCATATGGCATTTTATCGGATATGAAAAGTTATTTGTAAATAAATTTCGGCCTCTCCGTACTATATGAATAGACGGACACCATATTTTTTATAATCGGTAAGCTTTTAAATTATTAATTTTAGAACAATGTATTACTTATTATCATTGTATTACTTACGTAGTCTTGATTAATCGTTCGGAATATTCCAGAATGTTCATAAATATAGTCCTAAAAATTTTCGTAATTTTTCACAGTGATAATCCTGGAGCACTAACGTCATCAAATTTTGTTGTAATTTAATGTATTCATTATTGGAAATGTAATATATTTATGATTATTTAAAAACAGAAATAAATATTACACCACGTATGTTTTCTTAAAAAAAATTCAGTTGACTGATGTAGGCTTCCGAAGCCAGTCATGATCTGAGCCACGCCGCGTCGAAGGCTGAGATGCCGATGTTTCGACCATCATACTGCGATCTTCTTCAGGGCTGTAGGGGGTAACCTGCATCAAGTATTAAGGGCGTCTGCAGCTGCATATTCTATCCCTGTCATTGTGAAATGTGGGCCGGAATATGTACTTTTTTATTTAGATTTTTTTCAGAGCGTAGTGTAAAATGTGATTAATAATCACGTGACCAGTAGCAAGTGTAATGTAATACATTGCAATACCAATGCACTGCCGGGTTCACTACTAAATAAACAAATTAAAATAGTTTTTTGAATTTTACCGCTGTTCTAGGTGTCTAACGAAACCCTAGACAACTTGGCCGAAGGTTGCATAGTTTCCTTTCAATATCTGCACGCATTGTAAATTAGTAATTCAGATTTTCAGTCAAAAATGACAACCATTACTAATTCCAATTACATTTTGTCCTGATATTTTTATATTTCAACTACCTTTTGCTTGCCAAGTTTTAATGAACATTTGGATCCATTTATTAGACTCAAATAGCACATATGATTTGATAACCCCAGTGGCAGAAATCAACACCTGATTTAGTGAGATACATAATATTTTCGCTTAGCTTTTACTCAAATGGATTGATTGTAATTATCAATATGATTAAAAGTTGTTGGACAACGTCCATTAATTTTTCGTCTTAATAATTTGTAGAGAAAAAGAATTTAAACAATATCATGGCGGGTACAAATTATTGAGGTGGCAATATGTCCTAGAAAAAATGAAATTTAAGTCTCCTCTTTGGAAAAGCTTTTTATATTTCTGAGAAAGACCTTAACGCGAAGCCACTCAGCAGCACTTCCGAGCGGCGCTGCTGGCAAAGCATTGGTTTAAACGAAGGGATTGACTCGAGCGGCGCAGTGATGTTGTGGCACTCCCGCCACCTCCACGCAGACGCGCCGGCAGAACAGTTTTAAATGACAGCTCTCGCACTTGGTTTCTCGGAAGCGCCACTCTGCGTACCTGTTAGCGCATTGACAGCCTCGCACCTTGAACGGTGGCTGCCGAACCCTTCCCGCCTTTGGGCCTCCGCGCTCAGAGGCGCCGGTCGGCGGCGGCGGCGGCGCCTGTGGCCCCGTGAGCGAGGGGCGGGCACTCACCCGTGGGCACCAGGTGGCCGTGCGTCGGGCCGTGGTAGTGCATCTCGTTGTTGATGTTGAGCGCGTAGAGCACGGTGGCGGCCACGAGCACGGGCAGCCACAGCAGCCAGCGCCCGCCCTGCGGCTTGCGGTCGGCGGCCGGCGGCTGCTCCTCCAGCAGCGAGTACGCCACCCCCGCCCCTGGCCCCGGCGCCGGCCCCGACGCCCCCCGCGGACCCATCTGCAAGCCAAACAAGCACTCTTCAGCACACGCCACCACAACCATAGGACAAAGCAAACAAAGGTCACGACCGCTCACACAAGCGAAAGATGTACATTCGCTTCTTTTCATGAACAAATAAGAACTACTATGCTATCAGTACGCACGTACAGGTATGTCTATGCTCTCTGTTCATATGCGTGTACGTAATGAAGGATTGCAAGAGTATTTAGAGGTCGAGCATTGTTAATATGGCAGCCAACCAAAAATTCCCAGTAAAATCTGTCGAAGTTCAAAATTCCCTCAGATAAAATATACAATTTTTACATTTTTTTCTGCAAATACAAAGCAGAGGCAACTGGTGAATGCAATCGCCGGTTGATCACAAAATTAAGCCATAGTATTTTTGCAATCGTGCAAAATAAAAATGGGCTATCATATCTGTTATTAATATTTATTGATTGTCTATACTGCGGATGGTGACTTAACTGACACCCGATTGGCCTTAGTGCATGCCGTTACCAAGGAAACGTAGAGATGCCGCCGAACCAAACTCATCTCCCGCAGTATAATAACCAGGGCGCGGATTTTAATGAAATGTCATTTGTTTTCTTTTCACTTTAGAACAATGCTGTTTAGTATAGAAATTCACTTTATGTTGTAACAAAATCAAATTACCCATTTTTATGTCATTTTTTTGCTTTTTTCGTCGATTTCAGCTTTTATGTCATTTTTTACCTTTATACATCGTCTTTAATGGATTTTTTCGATGATTTCGATGATATAATCGATTTTAATGGTACTTTCTTCAATATATACGAGGTGCAACAAATGTTCACAACAGACTTCCTGAGTAGCCTTTTCGATTTCTTCGCTCATATATTGTAATGTGAACCGTTATGAGTACTATGTAATCTAACGTTCCTGCGACGCCTATCGGCACCATTGTCAGTTCGGTCGATTTCGCGATAAATTAAGGCAGAGATTTCCTTTTAAAGAACAGTCCAAACCAAACGTTTGCAAGATGAGTTCACTTGAACAAAAGGAAGAAGTATAGATTACATCAGTGCGCATAACCCGTTCACTCGTGCATAACCCGTTCAGCCTATTTTCTCCAAAACTGATACTCCCAAATCGTTCTGGCTGATGTCGCGGCGCTTGGAATTTAAAACCGACGTTTTAATTTTGGGGGTACTTTATATGACGCCCCTCAGGCACTTTCAAAACCTTACAAAAATCGCATCAATTTTTCTGATTAAACGTTGTCCTCGGATAGAGCAATGAACGCTTAAGAGATTGGTGCAAGTCTTTTTCGTTGAAATTCCCAATTTTTCAAAATGTAAAAAATTCAAAATTTTTTCGACGTCTTCTTACAATCAGAGGCGGAGCCAGAAACGAATTTTGGGAGGAGAAATTCAAAATGTTTTCGTCTCATATGTCATATTACAGACTTTGTAAAATGTCTCAGGCTGCACTCAGCTCATGCTGAAATACGATTTTATTCGTTTTAATGAAAATCCGAAAATATGTTTGCTTGAAAGTCTCGTTACAAGTTGAAATTAATAATACTAAACACGTTTCGGGGGGAGGGGATTTCTCTCCCCGTGGATCCGCGACTTCTACGATTATGATATTGAAGATAGAGATTTTTTTGTAATTGAAATCTGTCAGCAAAAGGCAGATCTTGAAATAAGGTTATGTTCAACTTTTCAAACATATGAGTAGTTTTCTTGTAAATTTACACAAAAATAAGGCATTTTTAAAGTATTTTTTTCAAAACAGCTCCAAATTCTTTCTTTAAATTCTGTCTACGCATGTAATAAGAGACGGTAAGAAAATATTGTTCTAGTCGCATTTTCGGGAAGTGCCCCATTTTCCGAAAATGACAAAACTTAACATTTCAAAACTACAAAATTGAAGATAAATATTTTTTCCTCGGACAAAGTTTGTTGTAAAAAAAATAGATATTTTAAAAAAGGGCACGTATATTTTTTTTTTGAAAAAAGTAGCTTTTGCCTCATTTGCACTTGAAAATTACGCAATTTCCAAAAAAATATTTTCTCATAATCCATTCCCAACGTTTTAAAACATGTTTCCACGGATAGAAGAAGGGACACTTAAAGTAATGGCGCAAGTCTCATTTCCGTTCAACTCTCCGACTTTTCGAAAATCGTAAAAACTAATCATTTGGAAAATACAAAATGGATGACATATTTTTGGTTTATAAAAATCTGTTCAAAAAACCAGTTTATTAAAAAAGGTCATGTACATTTGTTTTTTTTTTTAATTGATTTTGCGAAATATCTACTTGAAATTAATGAAATATATACTATACAGATGTCCCACAAACTATGGATCACGGAAACAATTCTCGGAGAACAGAAACGGATCCAAAAGGATATAAAGAAATAATTTAATTTTAATTATAATTTACTATTTAAAATGCCAAAATGAATTAATATTTTTTACTTTTTACTCTACAATTCTCAATGTAATGATGTATTTCTTTCATATAATACGCAACACTTAATTGAAATTTGCACAACAAAGTCGCAATGGATATTTCAGAAGCTCATTGTTATTGAACATCGAGATGGTTGAGTTGATAAGACAAAGTTGTTTTATTTACTTTAGAGTTCGTGTTTACAAATCAGCCTTTAAAGCCTAAAACACCCGTAGCGACAAAGTCAGGGGACTTGGTATGGGAACAGTTGCGAGTCACTGTCCCCAGACCGTTGCAATACAATGTCTAGCGTCCACATCTTTTGAGAGTAAGTTGTAACACAAATCAGCCAGACATGTCACAACGAATCGCTTTCTATGCTTTTAATTTGTGTTTCAACAACTTGATGTTCTTAGAAAGAACATGTCCTCTCGGAAAGAGAACGCGACATCCTGTTCGCAGACACTGAAATACTATCTACCACCAACCACTACCACATCAGATTACAACGGGCAGCTACTGAGATTTTTAAACATTCCAGTAACTTGGACAGGAATGAAGAAGGACAGTGGTGTCCATGTCACTAGCTCGGATTACGAAATAACGAACAATAGCCAGCTGCATCTTTAGTCCGCTCCTAAGGTCACAACGCGACGTCCTCTCACCCTCCCCGCTCGTGCGCGTAGAGTAAGAGAGTAAGCACAGCGCCCGAACACATCTGATCTAGACGATGAGTGGTCCTTTCAGACAGTCGCCGCATATCTGGCTGAGAAGTCAATGTTTAGGCACATTCGTAATCGGGCATCGTCCGATAAAACGCTCTCATTCCGGAAATTCACTCATTTCAGGCAACGGAAAATATGAACTAATGAAACGTAAAAATATTATCACATTACGGCACAACTAGATTAGGTCACTGCTTGAAAATTCTGAATCCTGAACACCAAGCCGCATGCAAATCCAACGCTGGCCTTACCCCCGACGCGGGTACGCGCCGCCTCCGCTGCCACCAGCGCGCGCACGGCCAGGCCCTGCATCCGCCACGCCGCCGGCCTCCCCAGGCTGCCTCCGGGCGTCTCGGCGCCGGACTGCGGAAGGCGGCGGTCGCGGAGGGGCGGCGATAGCGGCGGCGGCGGCGGCGGCGGCGGTGGGCGATAAGTGCAGTCGCAGGCCGCGGGTCGGTCCGCCCGCCGCCGCCGTCGTCTCGCTTGGAAGGAAATATTCAAACCATTACGAGAAATCGAACGAGTTGGGTTAATTTTCTATATGTTCCCCTCGATCTCTTTACTTGGGCGAGCCCCCTCCTAAAAGATACGTCTGGCTACCGCACTGTGTAGAAGTCAAAAAAAGAGGTTGGTTTGCTCTTTGATATTGATTTGGCTCGTTAAAACCCTGATGGAAGAACTTCCTTTGTGGACCAAAATTCCTTTGTTGGCCACTATTTACTTCCTGTATATTCTCTTTTTTTCTCTCTGGCGCTCTTATCTCTTCCGATTATGTTGCAAGAAAATATACATATACAGGAATGTCTTCGTAGAGGAAAATCCTTCTTTTGTGGTTGTACTGATCTACATTCCATTCACGTCTTCTCACAACCTTGCCAATTTTTTACATTCGCTCATCTCCTATTTTTATTTGTTTTGGTGAAACTGGTCCCTTTGAGACATTTCACGAGAGCCGACACCAATTGTAATTTCACACAGCAACATTCTGGGCGGGAAACCGCGCAGGGTCCGTGCATTTTCTGAGGGGTTGGCGCAGCATTTTAAAAATTAGTGGTGACGTCATGGATACTCACAGCGACCATAGACACGAGCTTTCGTATAACAATATATTATTAACAAAGAAAACAAAACAAATATATACCTTAATATCCTACTTACACCCTAGCTCTGGTAGACCTACTATCCCCTGATCGCGGGGATCGCAACCGATTGAAGAATGGTTTGATTGTGGCTTCGCCACTCCTACTTTGAAGCGCGCACAAAGCCTAGCTTCCGTGACCGGATGTCACGCTGGGACACAAAGTCCGTTCTGGCGGCACCAACGGCTGGTTTGCCTCGATCGCAGGAGCGATCTTATCCGATGAGAATCGGCGTGAATCGTGGCACTCAACCTCTTCACCTCGAGCACGCACACAGCATCCTCCCGCGTGACCGCAGTCACACAAGGACATAAAGTCGCAGGCTTCGTCAACTAGTGACTCCACCTCGCGAGCCTGGCTCGCATATGCACCGTCTGTGGCGCCAAGTTTTGTTCACACGCACGAGGTTCTCCCGCTGTCTCCAGAACCCCCTACTGCTCTGTACACTCGTTATATAGGCGAGGCCCACGTGATCTACTACGTCACGCCACTCCCTCGCTTGTTATAACCAGTGAAAAGTCTTATAAGCCGGAAACTCCAAAGCTTGTGTCTCCCGTTTCCGCGTTCTTCCTTTACGGAAAACCCTACTTCCTGTGGCTAGGCTAATCCGCTCCCAAGCGTCCCCAAATAGATGCCATGAGGCACGCTGGCTAATACGTTACATTATCTAACCAAGATACCACAAAGGGCCAGAGCCTCCTGCCTTTTTGCAGG